AATAAAGTTCATAGCCTTAAATGCCTACGTCAAAGAGTCTGAAAGAGCACAAATAGACAATCTAAGGTCACACCTCAAAGAACTAAAGAAACAAGAACAAACCAAACCTACACCCAGCAGAAGAAAAGAAATAACAAAGATCAGAGCAGAGCTAAATGATATTGAAACAAAAAAAAATACAAAAGATAAACAAAACAAAAAGCTGATTCTTTGAAAAGATAAATAAAATCGATAGACCACTACTGAGGAGATTAAACAAGAAAAGGGAGAAAATCAAATTAAGCACAATTAGAAATGAAATGAGAGATATTACAACTGATACCACAGAAATACAAAAGATTATTAAAGGTTACTGGGTACATCTTTACGTGCATAAACTAGAAAACCTAGAGGAGATGGATAAATTCCTGGAAATGCACAACCCTCAGTTTAAACCAGGAAGAGTTAGAAACTCTGAAGGGACCAATAACAAGCAGTGACATTGAAATGGTAATTAAAAAATTGCCTACCAAAACAAAACAAAACAAAAAGTCCAGGACCAGATGGATTTGCAGCTGGATTCTATCAGACATTGAATGAGAAATTGGTACCAATCCTATTAACACTATTCCACAAGACAGAGAAAGAGGGAATCCTCCCTAAATAATTCTATGAAGCCAGTATCACCCTAATACCAAAACCAGGAAAGGATATAACAAAAAAAGAACACTACAGATCAATATCCCTGATGAAAACAGATGCAAAAATCCTCTACAACAGCATATGGAAAAGATAATCCACCATGATCCAATGGGTTTCATACCAGGGATGCACGGATGGTTTAACATTCACAAGTCAATAAATGCATGTAAATAGAATTAGAAACAAAAGTCACATGATCATCTTAATAGACACAGAAAACGCATTTTACAAAATCCAGCATCCCTTTGTGGTTAAAACTTTCAGCTAAATCGGCAGAGAAGGGACATACCTTAACAAAATAAAAGTCATCTATGACAAATTCACAGCCAACATTATACTGAATGGGGAAAAGTTGAAAGCATTCCCCCTGAGAACTGGAACAAAAAAACGATGCCCACTCTCACTATTTCTATTCAACACAGTACTGGAAGTCCGAGCCAGAGCAATCAGATGAGAAAAAATAAAGGGCATCCAAATCAGTGAAGAAGTCAAACTGTTGCTGTTTGCTGATATGATATGATATGATACCTGGAAAACCCTACCCATTCCTCCAAAAAGCTCTTAGAATTGATAAATGAATTAAGCAAAGTTTTAGGATATAAAATTAATGTACACAAATCAGTAACTTTGCTATACACCAACAGCATCCAAGCTGAGAATCAAATCAATAACTCAACCACCTTTACAATAGCTGCAAAAAAATAAAATAAAATTCTTAGGAATATACCTAACCAAGGAGGTGATCCTTATCTCTAACCTTATAAAAAAATCAACCCAACATGAATCAAAGACTTAAATCTAAGATGTGAAATCATAAAAAGTCTAGAAGATAACATTGGAAAAACCCTTACAGACATTGGCTTAGGCAAAGACTTCATGACCAAGAACCCAAAAGCAAATGTAACAAAAACAAAGTAAATAGATGGGGCTTAATTAAATTAAAAGTCTCTGCACAGCAAAAGAAACAATCAGCAGAGTATACAGACAACCCACAGAGTGGGGAAAACCTTCGAAATGTCTACAGGAACTCAAACAAATCAGTAAGAAAAAATTCCATCAAAAAGTGGGCTAAAGACATGAATGGATAATCCTCAAAAGAAGATATACAAATGGCCAACAAACATATAAAAAAAAAGCTCAACATCACTAATGATCAGGGAAATACAAATCAAAACCACAATGTGATACCACCTTAATCCTGCAAGAATGGCTATAATCAAAAAATAAAAAATAGATGTTGGCGGGGACATGGTGAAAAGGGAACACTTTTACACTACTGGTGGGAATGTAAACTAGTACAACCACTGTGGAAAACAGTGTGGAGATTCTCTAAAGAACTACCAGTTAATCCAGCAATCCCACTCCTGAGTATCTACCCAGAGGAAAAGAAGTCATTATATGAAAAATACATTTGCATACGCAGGCTTGTAGCAGCACAATTCGCAACTGCAAAAATATGGAACCAGCCTGAATGCCCATCAATCAACGAGTGGATAAAGAAATTGTGGTATACATATATATTATGGACTACTACTCAGCCATAAAAAGGGATGAAATAATGACATTTGCAGCAAGCTGGATTGGAGACTATTATTCTAACTGAAGTAACTCAGGAATGGAAAATCGAGTGTATGTTCTCACTCATAAGTGGGAGCTAAACAATGAGGATGCAAAGGCATAAGAATAATACAATGGATTCTGGGAATTCAGGGAAAGGGTGGGAGGGTGGTGATGGATAAACGGCTACACATTGGGTATAGTGTACACTGCTTGAATGATGGGTGCACCAAAATCTCAGAAATCACCACTAAAGAACTCTTTCATGTAACCAAACACCACCTGTTCCCCCAAACCTATTGAAATTAAAAAGTCAAAAATAATCCATAGGATTTAAAACAATTTTTCTAAATATCTAAATATGTCACCAACATACTTAAAGCAAATAATGATAATTTTAATCTTCCTTTCCAAAACATACATTTCTTACTTATGCTTATTTCTCTAGGTAAGGCCTCTATTAAAATATCAAGTAGGCCAGGCACCGTGGCTCACACCTGTAATCCCAGGTCTTTGGGAGGCCGAGGTGGGTGGATCACCTGAGGTCAGGAGTTCGAGACTTGCCTGGCCAAAATAGTGAAATCCCATCTCTACTGAAAATACAAAAATTAGCCTGGTGTGGTGGCATGCACCTGTAGTCACAGCTACTCAGGAGGCTGAAGCAGGAGAATTGCTTAAACCTGGGAGGCAGAGGTTGCAGTGAGCCAAGATAGCACCATTACACTCCAGCCTGGGTGACAGAGCGAGACTCTGTCTCAAAAAAGAAAAAAAAAAGTCAAGTAATGATAGAAGGCATACTTGGCTTATTCTCAAATTCCATGGAAGTTTTCAATGTTTCATTGTGTGATATTTGCTCCATTTAAAAATTTTTCAGTAGCTTCTATTTATATTGACATTTTCTCTTCCTTGAGATTTAAAAAAAATTGTGTTAAATTTATCAAATACTTTTCTGCATCTATTGAGATGATCAATGGTTTTTCACCTTTTATTCTGTTAATATGAAGAATTACACGTTTATTTTTAAGTGCTAAGTAAATCTTCCATTCCTTTATTAAATCCAGTTTAGTTCAGTTGTATCTCTCTCTCTCACACACACACATACACACACACCACAAACACATCATTTGTAGGTCTACGATTTTTGAACCTAATTTATGAGTTTGACCTGTAATGTTCATTTCCTGCAATGTATTTTCAAGTTTGGGTATAATCATTATGCTTGTCTCATAAAATGAAATGTGACCTGCCCCTGCCACCCATTTTAAATTTTTTGAAGAGTGGGGTAAAACTGGCAATACCAAATCTTTCCAAAAGTTTCTAAACCTTTTACATATCCCAATACCCAAATTTCTGTTCTATTGGTTCTCTTTATTGTATATTTCACTATTTCATTATTTGCTCTTATCATAATTTTTTTCTACTTCTTTGCATTTATACTGTTCTATCTTGGATCAGCCCTTCTGTTTTAATAAAAAACTTACACATTTCCATCAATGTTCTAAGTACTAAGATGATGACAGCTTTCACTTCTAAATTATTCTTTTAATCTGCTTAGTTATTTTTGATAATTTTTTCATTTTCCTTTATTTCTTTAAATATACTTTCTGATAATTGCCATATCTGCAGACTACCATTCTTTCTCTATCTTGGTTTTACATTTTACTCTCTTTTCAGTGTGGCTAGTTTTTGCGTAATGAGTCTCACAGGTGATATGAATCTTTGTGCAAATCCATGTGAATGTGAGTTTTTGCTAGGAATTTTCATGAAAGGCTTAAAAATTTTATTTTTTCAATTCCCAAGAAAACCGGAGACGGGCAAGTTTCTTCAAAGCTTCCTCCTGTCTGCCGGTGGGGAGTCCACCTCTGCAGTTCTTCCATCGAGTGAGGCCCTTCTAGATGTCAGGCTATATGTGTATGGGAGGGACAAAAATATGGATGGGTGGGGGAAAAAAATTAGGCCAGCCATCCTATTTTGTCTCAGCCTTCATCTTACATTCCTTATGCTTGTAAAATCACACGCTCTAGGCCCTTGGTCTTCATAATACGGTCCTCAGACCATGATATCAGCACCTCCTGGGACTCTCAGAAATCCAAAATCTCAGGCACTAGTTCCAAAAGTTGTCCTTGTGGATTTTTCTTTTCTTTTTGTTTCGGCTTCCTTTCCTGTCCTATCAGCTTTACGCTTATATATACGTTTTCTATTTTTTTTTTCTGTGTACAATGATAGGTATAAATTTTTTTCTCTTAGTAATCGCGTTTAGATTTAGCCGTTTAAATCAGAAAAATAACGAAACGAGATCAGCATCGCTGGGTTCTTTCGTACACCCCAGTAGGTCAGCTGGGACTGGCTTCCGGCAGTTGCTGTTTGGTCGATTACAAACTATTAAATACACCAGTGAGGATGAAATCCTTCCGTGCTACGGCACCTCCGCAAACTACTTCTAAACTCTGCGCCAATCCTCCCCTCTCCCATCGCCCTCCCTCAGCAAAGCCTCACGCTTTCTTTCGGAGTAGGCCACCGAGCCACTGCGAAAACCCGGAGTAACGGATTCGGGGTGCAGCTAAGGTCTCCAAGGGAGCACGGGGAACTTACAGAGCATGCGTAAAGCGCGGTGCGCGCACATGCGCACTCGTTCGCGCAGGGCCGCGCGCCGGTCTCTCAGGAGGGCTTGGAGGCTGCGCGAGCAGTTGACGTGTTCGGTGGCTGCTGAGGCGGCGGAGCTCTGGGAGGGGAAGGAGCGGAGGGGAGGGGAGGGGGTGGTGAGGTGGGGGGCTGAACCCGGAAGTGGGTAGGCGCAGGAGCGAGCGCGCCCAGAGTGGAGCTCAGCTGCTGGGAGCCAGCGGGGGAGCCTTGGGTTCCCGGTAATGGATCTGTGGGGCGTTTTCCCAGGGAAACTGGGTGGGAAGGGTAGCGGGATCGCCGACTACAAGCGCATTCTCCGCCTCGCCAGGGCCTGGGAAAGCTCTTCTGCTTCCTTTAGTCGTCTCTCTGGTTGACCCCACTTCTTCTCTGCGCCCCTCCTGGGGCCGTCTCTCACCGGGTGGTTTTGGCCGAGGGACGCTCTCTATTCCTGAAGAGCTGTGCCTTGCCCGCCCGAGGAAAGCATGTTAATGGAGAGACTCGGATCTCGCGGCCGCCACGGCCTTATTGTCACCATCCCAGCACCCCTAAACCACGACTACAGCCTCCTCAACCCGCACAGTCAACGATCTTGGAAGATCTCTCCCATTTCTGCCAGGGTATTTTCACTCTGTTCGTGAATCAGGCCTGGAAGGTGTGCCTGGGTTCCTTTAAAATTATTCTTTTGTTGGCTGCCTTTTCTAAACCCGGCCCTCCTTGTTCTCCGCCCCAAAATCTTTGCCACGAATGAGTGTAAGCTGTGATTTTATCATCATTTAGTTATAATTAGAAGGAATTCGTTGATGATTGCCGTTGGCTGATCTAGCATTGCTTTGCCATGGAGTTATTTTACGTGGTTCTCACTCTTTTGCAGACCATGAAACCCTTGGGCACGCCCCTTCAGAAGCTGTTATCCAAGACAATCTAGTTTTCCTTTATAAATCACTTAAGACACTTATGAAGTTTCTTGTTCTGAAATTGCTGCACTGCAATGAAGAAGAGGAGAAAGGTTACTTCAAATCTTGAGAAGATCCATCTAGGCTATCATAAAGATTCTTCAGAAGGAAATGTTGCAGTGGAGTGTGACCAAGTGACCTATACTCATTCTGCAGAAAGACCAACTCCTGAAGCTCTTCACTGTTATCAGGAACTTCCTCCCTCTCCAGATCAGAGAAAGCTTTTGAGTTCTTTGCAGTATAATAAGAATTTGCTAAAATATTTAAATGATGATAGGCAGAAGCAACCATCTTTTTGTGATTTGCTTATCATAGTGGAAGGAAAAGAATTTAGTGCACATAAAGTAGTCGTTGCTGTTGGCAGTAGTTATTTTCATGCGTGTTTGAGCAAAAATCCAAGCACTGATGTTGTCACCCTGGATCACGTAACACATTCAGTTTTTCAGCATTTGCTTGAATTTCTTTACACATCAGAATTTTTTGTGTACAAATATGAAATACCTCTTGTTTTAGAGGCTGCAAAATTTTTGGACATTATCGATGCAGTGAAGTTGTTAAATAACGAAAATGTTGCCTCTTTTCATTCAGAGCTAGCTGAAAAGTCATCACCAGAAGAAACACTAAATGAATTAACTGGAAGACTATCAAATAATCATCAGTGCAAATTCTGTAGTAGACATTTTTGTTATAAAAAGTCTTTAGAGAATCATCTGGCTAAAACCCATAGGTCTCTTTTATTAGGGAAAAAACATGGGTTAAAAATGCTGGAGAGAAGTTTCTCCACAAGAAGATCAAAAAGGAATCGAAAGTGCCCTGTTAAGTTTGATGACACCAGCGATGATGAACAGGAAAGTGGCGATGGGTCAGACAATTTGAATCAAGAAAATTTTGATAAGGAAAAGTCAGATAGAAATGATTCTGAGGATCCTGGAAGTGAATATAATGCTGAAGAAGATGAGTTAGAGGAGGAGATGTCAGATGAATACTCTGACATTGAAGAACAAAGTGAAAAGGATCATAATGATGCAGAAGAAGAACCTGAGGCTGGTGATTCTGTAGGGAATATTCATGAGGGGTTAACTCCAGTGGTCATTCAGAACAGCAACAAAAAAATATTGCAGTGTCCTAAATGTGATAAAACATTTGACCGGATAGGTAAGAAAAGAAAACTTGTTTTCTATCTCTAATCAAAAAGATCGCTTATAAAAAGACTGCTTATGTAGGGAGAATACTTTGGTTTTCAATAGTGTTTATCCTGTTACTTTAAATTTGTTGTGATTCAGGAATTAATTTAAGTATTTATATTAGCCTTTACTTTTCTTCATGTCCCAGTGACACATCATTAGATCATGTCATTTGATATGAAAGACTCCAGAGTGTCAATAATTATCATGTAGAGCTTTGATTTATATGCCAGTTTAATTCCAGTGATAGGTACTATTTTTAAGTCATTAAAGAAAAGTAGATTATATTACATTTAGTAATTTGTATATTCTTTTCCCCTTGCATGGTAATATATGAGTTATAAACGTCACTTTTCCAGTATCTAGCACTATTTAATAGAAAGGGGATGTTTTAGATTAAACTATGGTGAAGGATAAAATTGAAATGAATGTAATTTAATACTGTAGATAAAGACTTTGGGAAGTATCCTAGTTAGTAGCACTCTGGTTATATTATACATGTGACCTTAGCCAAAAGGCCAAGAAGCTTTGGTTGTTATAATAATGAATAAATCAATTTTTCTTCTATTGGAAAAGAATTTGTAAATGTAGTCTATCATTTTAAGTTTTATGTCAGTATATATTTAATTTCAAGTTGTCTAATATTTGCTAGGTAAGGTAATTCTTGGAAGTGTCTTATGTGAACTGTTCTAATATGAACTTTTCAGTTGCAACAATTAAGCTTCCAGGTAAATTGAAGTTATGAAATCGTGAAATATATTCTACCACATATAATGATAAAAACATTAGTGCAATCTGACCTGGTAAAATTACTTACCCGGTTTAATATATCCCCATATGTCTTACAGTGTTACCTTACTTATGTTACTGATATAGGTGGAAATTGGTTTTATAAGAAATTGGTGATCATTTGCTGTAAAAATATGTTGCATTATATGCTGAGATAACAGTGGTATCTACTTTTTGCTTTTTATAATGTTTTTTGGGATAATTTTCTCTCCGAATCATAACACTTTGGATAATCTAATTTAATAATTATTAATATTTTAACTGAGCCTGTGTGCAAACGAATAAAAAAACTTCTTCAATAACAATTCCAAGAGCATATGTATACAAGTAAATTGTTAAAGTTAGACTGGATAAAATGCTGTTGTAGAGCTGTAAACAAATACTGTGAAGATGTGTATAGAGGTGAGAACAGCTTTTTGGGTTGAAGTATCTGAGAACATTTCATCTTTCCAATAGACTTCTTAGACTTTGTACTCTTAGTGCACGCTTCCTGTATTCTGCCTTAATTGTCTTAATTTGACTTGGAGATGAGTGAATAGGGATGAGTTCGCAAATGGTATTGTAGGTGGAACACAAATATCTCAAACCGTCCCATTCACTAGTCCTGTGACATGCTGTATAAAAGAAGGGTTCTGTGTTCAAGTAAGATTGGGAACTATATAATTCACAATCTATTAACTGCCCGATTCTCTAGTAAAGAAACCTGTTGATTTTGCTTAACCCAGTATTTCCTTAAATCGTTTTACCACAAGATATTTTGGAGGTACTTCTTTGAGCATCCTAGGAAACTACAGTTTTCTGCACAATTTGGGAAAACACTGCTCAAGATTGAGGTGCTAATTTACTAAGAGGAGGACATTTCGCTCCTCCCTCCCTCCCTTCCTCCCTCCCTTCCTCCCTCCCTCCCTCCCTCCCTTCTGTCCCTTTCCCTTTCCCCTTCCTTTTTTTCCAAGTTCAGCCCAGATAATTGTGGGAGTCAATAGGTCACATTGTAGGTTTATTTCCGACTGATCTTTCTGAATGTATTTGACATTATGCCACTCTTTTACCCATTCCTCTCTTTTGTTTAGCCCTGCTGCTTGCTTTTCACCAGTAGTTTCTCATTTCTATTACCTTAGTATATCTATATCTATCTATATCTTATTCATACATTGCTAGTTAAAAAGCATGAGTTACAGTGATATGAGACTGCTTGGGTGTTTTGGAATCGTGTTCTTGGGTGAGATACTTAACCTGTCTGTGTTTTTGTTTCCTCATAAGTAAAGTGAGATGATGCTAATGTGATGCTAATAGTACCTTCTCATGAGGTAGGAAAAGGTTATTATGAGGATTAAATGGGGTAATTCTTGGGAATCACTTAAAATATTGCACAAAATATAGGTGTTCTAACATATTTATTATCTCTAAGCTGCCAAACATTATTAAACAAATATGAAATGATATACTCTCTGTCATCAAGAATCTTAGAGTTTAATGGGTACATGAAAAAAACACAATCATGTTACAATAAAGATAATTTTATCAGGATAATTACAGAAGACTAAGGAAATCAGGAGAAGTGTCTCAGAGCAGATAGTATTTGAGCTAAGACTCAAAGAATAGGTAACAGTTTACAAGACAGAAGGACCAGCATGTGTAAAGGCATTGAGGTATGTTGTATTGCTCAAGTGTGAGTGGTTTCAAGGTGGTCAGGTGTTATTTTCATAGTGAAAATAACAGGAGATGAAGGTGGGCAAGAAAGTGGTGGTCAGATTTTGTATGTCTTGTATACTCTACAAAGGCATATACTTTGGACAACATAACTTAACTAGACTGGACTTTATCCAGTAGGTGATAGGGACCGTTGAAAAGAATTTTAGAAAGGAAACCATGGCGTATAAGAATTTTAGAAAGATCATGGTGGCTTCAGTGTGGAGAAGAAAATTGGAAAAAGGGATGAAAAAAGAGCCAGGGAGATAAGAAGGAGCATATGACAAAGGACCAGAATGATAATATAGCTTAGACTTGGAAGATGAGTGGCATTGGGAGTGGGGTATAGAATGAGAGTAAAGCAGAGAGTTATAATACATTGAATGTAAACTAAGTGGACCAGTGATGGGTAGAATGAAAAGAGTATTTAGCAGAAGATCCATGTGTCTTAAGTGTCCTCTCTTACCATCTTTATTATTAGAAGTACAGTTTATTTAAAAAATAACACAGGAGTTCGAGCGCCACTATGAGTCATTATTCTCATACCATCCACATTCCTTTTGTAGAATTTTTAAATGCCACCCCAATTTTGGGTTATTTATCTGTCTTAGATTGTGAGCCTGGGAGTTACGTATCTTACTCTTGGCTAGTATTCTTTGTAACATCTCAGGTCATTTCAAGTAAATTTTTAGTAAGCAGCTGTTTATTTGAACTAAGTTGAAAAGTTGGTATCTGACTTGACTTTGGGCTTACAGCCAATTAGCATTCTTTAAGCTTCTAACTTGGCTTTTTTGGGGTTGGTTTATGAGAGATGCATAAGCTTTGAGACCTTCTGCTGGAACCATTAGTTCCACAATATGTAATCTACTAATTTGATTCCATTACTTTACATCTTTTATCCTTTCTGCCAGTTATATTTTTCCGTAGGTTACCGGCTGTCTTCTCAGCAAATTATCATGCAAATAAGAATCCTTTGATCTTTCCCCTTACACCAAAAATGTAATGGATAAACAGGCAAAAGCAGGGAGATGACAGATGGGGTGAGAGAGAAAATTTGGATAATTCATCTTTTTTATTGTTTCCACAGAGAACTAAAATCTTTCCTTAGATTAAATTCACAATCTCTTCTAGAGGTAGAACATGTTTTATACCTTTAAAAAAAAAAATGTGACTAGTGCATCCTGCAGATATTCCGCTTAGTTCTTAATAGAAAAGGGTTATAACAATGGCACAACTCTCTAAGGCTAAGTATTTTAATTACATATTCTTTAGAGTAACTCATATGACTATTTCAAGGTACATTTTAAGATGTAGCAATATCAGATATATAATAAACTCATCTGGTGATATTTCTCTTTGTAAAAACTGCATACAAAATCTAACATTGGTAATATGACCCATGTGGTAATAAATTCTGTATAAGGTCAAATTTGTTCATGTGAAAATATCTTTAATTTATGACTCCTGATTTGAGACATGATTCATATTGGGATTCAGTTCAGAAAAATGCTGTGGACAAAATTTCTTATGTTATAAAATGTTATGTATTTTCTGTTCACGATCAGGAATGCTTGGGTGTAGTTTAATATTCTATGAAGGAATACTGTTTTTTAAATTGAAACTTTGATAAGTTTGAAGTGAACATTTTGATTTATACATTATTATTGAATGCCCCACTCCGTAAACGTAGAGAAACAGTTGTAGATGTTTACTGTTTGTGCTAAGGAGTGCCCTCCCCACTGGCAAAAAAAAAAAAAAAAAAAAAAAAAAAAAAAAAAAAAAAACCTACCAAATGATTTAAACATGAAAATCAAAGATTAGCATATATTTTCCCACTAGTCTCTAGAGATCTACCTAGCTCTTTTGGGTCCAGCATTCCCTCAAAAGTTCTCTCGCCTGTTCTTGTTCAGAAATTCAAATCCATGGCAATAACAGGCCATGCAAAGCCTATGTGCATAAAATTTGAATTAATAACTAAAAGATTATTTTACTTATTCAAATTTCTGTATTATCATTGGTCTGCTTGATTTTGCTCAATTTGTTTAAAATGGTTTTTAAAAAAATCATGAGGTTTATCTAATTTTGGCTATTTCAGTTTATATTCACAAACTTTCTTCTTCTTCTTTTTTTTTTTTCCTTGCTTAAACCTTTATCTCTCCTGGTATGTAGGGAAATGGAAACTTAATAGTCAAAGTGATTTTAATTTTTAATTCAACTGCCATTTCAATGACTTCGTATTTAGCTATAAGTAACTTAATTTTTATTTGCATGCGTAGAAGAAATTCTCGATTTTCAATAGAGGGAAAATGCTGCTAATTGTTAATTTAACATCTTTTCAGCAAAGGCATTTTCATAGCAAGTAAATGATTTGTTGAAAAATTTTTCATACTTTAAGATTTTTATTATGCTGCTACTTTGGTAAGACATAAAAATGAGGGCCGGGTGCAGTGGCTCATGCCTGTAATCCCAGCACTTTGGGAGGCCGAAGTGGGCGGATCACCTGATGTCAGGAGTTCGAGACCAGTCTGACCAATATGATGAAACCCCATCTCTACTAAAAATACAAAAAATCAGCTGGGTGTGATGGCATGTGCCTCTAATCCCTGCTGCTCAGGAGGCTGAGACAGGAGAATCGCTTGAAGCCAGGAGGCGGAGGTTGCAGTGAGCTGAGATCGCGTCAGTGCACTCCAGCCTGGACAACAAGAGCAAAACTCTGTCTCCAAAAAAAAAAAAAAAGAAATAAAAATGAGAAGATTTAAGCAGTAGGAGGTTGATAAGTTGTCTCTCAATTTTGAGAATCAGTGCTAAACCTGCGCAGTCAATCCCCAGTTAAAAATGGACCTGTTCCAAAAATCACCAAGTTTAGTTATTAAAAAATCAGACTGTATACTTTTGTTTATAGTTTTTTAAATATCAGTATGATTATTTACATAATTTAAAAGGTGAGTTAAAACTGAAATATGAAAACCTTCACAATAAAGGAATACTTAAAAAAAAATCCATAAAGTGACCTCTGTCTTTTCTCAGTATTTGATCTGATTCCTTGAACACAGCAGGGGAGGTGGTGGTGGTAGGATGTGTATATGCATGTGTAAATGGTTGGGTATACTCTAGCAGTAGCAGAGAGGGAACAGAGATACTAAGCAATTTTAGCAGTGGCAAGGGAAAAGAGCCAAGTGTATACAACGTTATCAGAGCTGAAACCCCTGTTTGATTTGTTATAACAGATATTCATTCATAAATCGGATGCATCCATATTTATATTTGAGGTATACCTACATGTCCATATTATGACTAGTAACCTGTATGATAATAATGATAACAGTTAATATTTATTAGTGTTTACCGTGTGCTGGGAATTTTTTTTTTTTGACTTGGGGTTTTGCCAGGCTGGCCAGGCTGGTCTCAAATTTATGACCTCAAGTGTTCGCCCACCTTGACTTCCCCAAGTGCTGAGATTACAGGCATAAGCCACCATGCCTGGCTCTGCCAGGATGTTTTAAGTGCTGTGTGTATTTGTTAACGTATTTACTTCTCACAACCCCATGAAGTGTTACTAACTCAAGAGAGGTTAAATTATTAGCTTGATTTAAATCACGTAGCTAATTTAGGAGATGCCTAAATATTGACTGAGTTTTCTGACTATATGCATATCAGGTATGCATATACCATTACTGTGCTCTACATCTAAATACCTAATTTTTCATTATACTTCTGTTTTCTTTGCTTGTGATTAACACCCTTCCCCTTACCTTAAGGAAAATACCTTGGTTTCCTTTCCTCAGTTTTTTTTATTGTGATAAGTGCAATATAACTAATTTTTAGATAATATAATATTGCTTGCTTAATAAAATCAGTTGTATATAGATATATTTACAAAATTAGTGAATTTATTTTATTAGGTAGGCACATAATTATGATTATACCTTTTCCTCAGTGGCCTTGGAATATTTTGGATTTTTCATAATTTTCATGTTATACATAGGATATATCCTTTTTAAAGTACATGACCGAAATGCTATACTTTCACATTAGTTTTCATCTGAAGAAAAATTTATTTATACATTTATTTTTCAGGAGAGAGCAAAGCTAAGTTTTTAATTAAGAATTACCTTTCATGTTGATTTTTTTTTCCTATGTTTATTGCCTTTTGCTTGGAAATATATTTCGAAATTTCTAATTCAAATGACCAGATGTGCACATTCACAGTACACAGATTACCCAGTAATAATAATAGACAACAGTAATTGATAACTTACATGTTTGATACTGTTGTAAGTGTGTTATGTGTATGAATTTGTTTATTATTACAGCAGTTCTATTAGGTAAATTCTGTTATTATCTCAGTTTTTCAGATGAGGAAGATTTGAGGCATATAGAGGTTACTTGTCCAAGGTCACATAACCCTCTATTTAGAGAGCCAGTATCCATATCCAGGTGTGTGGACCCACAGAGATACTGAAAATATGAACATAATAAATCTTAAATGATGAATTGATCTTTTGCTAAAAGTTAATTTTAAATTTTAAAATACATTTAAAAATGTAAAGTTCAGAGAATTTGCCAACAGTTTTCAGAAAATGTATCAAACCTCTTAATTTTTAAAATGTGTGATCATGAATAACTTTTTTTTAATGACTCAAGTTTTTGAGGAAAAGTATACTTTGAACAGTAAGCTCAAAATAGTAAGTCATTAGGTTTATCAGAGGTAGAGATTTAGGTAAACTTTTTTCTAGTTTTGTGTGTGGATTTAGGTGCGTACATTAAGTTTGCTAAACCATGAGATTTTATTCCACTGTCAAATTCCAATCACAGTATAGCAAATGTACTAAATTTAATTTTAATTTTTCTTTTTTTATAGGAAAATATGAGAGCCACACCCGTGTTCACACAGGTGAGAAGCCCTTTGAGTGTGATATTTGTCACCAACGCTATTCGACAAAGTCTAACCTAACTGTTCACAGAAAGAAGCACAGTAATGAAACAGAATTTCATAAGAAGGAGCACAAGTGCCCTTATTGTAATAAACTTCATGCAAGCAAGAAGACTTTAGCCAAGCATGTTAAGAGGCAAGTATTATCTTGCTTCCATAATATACTTTATTGTGCCTTTTAATTTAAATATGTAGAAAGCTAAAAACATCTATAAAGTGCTTATCTCCAATTCTTTCATTGGACATTCATTGAGATACAGCATTTTGATTATCCTGTTTTCTTTCTTGGGTTTTGGCAAGTATGTCTTCAGAATATGTGGTTTTTATACTCATAAATTTCTTTCTCTTTTTTTTTTTTTTTTTTTTTTTTGAGGTAGGGTTTCACTTGTCGCCCAGGCTGGAATGCAGTGGTACAATCGCAGCTCATTGCAACCTCTACCTCCTGGGTTCAATCAGTCCTCCCATTTCAGCCTCCTGAGTAGCTGGAACTACAGGCACGCACCATGCCCAGCTAATTTTTATATTTTTTGTAGAGACTGAGTTTCACTTTATTGCCCAGAGTGGTCTCAAACTCCTAGGCTCAAGTGATCTGCCCGCTTTGACCTCCCAAAGTGCTGGAATTACAGGTGTGAGCCACCATGCCCGGCCAAGAAATTTATTCTTATACTCAACATTGTGTTTAATGTGTAACAGTTTGTGAGATAAAGAATATTTAATAGAATATTATATATTTAACTCTAAAAATTAAATTTACTGAAATCTGGACTAAAAAAAAATCAGACATATTACATTGCAGTTTATGTATAAAGAACTAGGTTCCTGAATGTATTTAAAAGATGATTATACTTTTATTTGATTATTTCTGCATAAACTTAGGTATACATATACATTTATTAAAATGATAATGATACCTCCTTAAAGAGCTCACCTGTGCCTACTTGTCTCATTATGAAAGGAATCAGTACTTGATCCTGGTAATTACTGTCAACATATTCACATGGACTATTGCTTTAACTAATATAACCTTTTCCTAATAACCCTTTTCTTTTCCTCTGATAGATTTCATCCAGAAAATGCACAAGAATTTATTTCCATTAAGAAGACTAAGAGTGAAAGTTGGAAATGTGATGTAAGAGTTTTTAATTAAAACAAATTAGAAAACCAAAGTAAATGAAATGTCTTTTGGGGAAATAAAGTAATTAGGTTTTAAAGTAATGTGACTTAGCTTATTTCACTTTTAGAATTTTCCTTTTATATAAAATTATTCTAATATATTTTGTAAATTAAGCCTGGTATAGGTTAGTTTTTAGATGATGGACCTAAGAAGTAGAAATCCTAGTTTTTATTTTCATTGTAATCACCATACCATGTATTTATGGTTATATATGTAAACTGTGACATTACTGTTGCACAGAATATAAAATGTTAGACTTTCTCCCTCATTTCTGGGTATGTGTTGTTGACATAATAAACTATCTCAAAACTTAGTGGCCTTAAATAAGTATTTTGATATGTCTCACCCTTTTGTGTGTTAGGAATCCACATTTGGGGCAGGGATTTGCTAGGTTAATTCTTCTGTTCCACTTGTTGTCAACTGAAGTCACTCAACAGTTTTCAGCTAGTGCATGGTCTGGTCTGGTCTGGGGATACTTCCAAAGTGGCTCACTCAAGGCCAGATATGGTGGCTAACGCCTGTAATCCCAGCACTTTGGGAGGCCCAGGCTAGTAGATCACCTAAGGTCAGGAGTTCGAGACCAATCTGGCCAACATGGCAAAACCCCATCTGTACTAAAAAAAAAAAAAAAAAAAAAAAAAAATTAGCTGGGCATGGTGGCACATTTGCTTGGGAGACTGAGGCAAGAGAATCACTTGAACTCGGGAGGCGGAGGTTGCAGTGAGCCGAGATCACACCACTGCACTCCAGCCTGGGTGACACAGCCAGACTGTCAAACAAAACAAAGTGGCCCACCCATGGGACAGGTAACTTGGTGTTTGTTCCTGGCTAGAATCTCAGCAAGGACTGTTTACCAGGAACCTTAGTTCTTCTCTACTTTGGTCTTTTCTTGAGGCTTCTTGAGCTTCTTTCTATCATAGCAGCTAAGTTCCAAGAGTGAGTAAGTGTTCCAAGAAACCTAGATAAAAACTATTAGACTTTATGGCATAGCCTCAGAAGTCTCTGAAAATCACTTCTACTACATTTTGTTGGCCAAAAAAATCACTCCAACCTGGGTAGATTTAAAGAGAAGGGAATTAGATTCCATTTTTCAATAGGAGGAGTACCATTGTACTTATGGACATCTTTATTCTACAGTACCTCTTAAGTATTTTTTCAGTATTTACATTAATCTTTTCTTTTTTTTTTTTTTTTTTTTGAGATGGTCTTGCTTTGTCACCCAGACTGGAGTGCAGTGGCGTGATCTTGACTCGCTGCAGCCTCCTCCTCCTGGGTTCAAGTGATTCTTGTGCCTCAGCCTCCCGAGCAGCTGGGACTACAGGTGCACACCACCACGCCCAGCTAATTTTTATATTTTTAGTAGTGATGGGGTTTCACCATGTTGGCCAGGCTGATCTTGAACTCCTGACCCCAAGTGATCCACCCGTCTCGGCCTCCCGAAGTGCTTCCCGGGATTACAGGTGTGAACCTCTGTGCCCAGGCTAGGTGAATCTTTTTTAAAGGCATCCCTAGCTGTTACTTTTGCCTTCTTTAATCCAAGATTCAATTTATATATACAGCAAAATTCTCACAATTTCTCTGATTTCAGCTTCTAGAAATTGAAGTTAATTATTAATTACAATGTTTGAATCTGCATAAGATAGTGTCTTCCCCTTACTAAGTTTCATCATTCTTGGCTATAAAACATTAATAATAATGCCAATTGCATCTGTCTCACAGGATTATTGTGAGAATTAAGAGAAATAATCCATGAATTACTTAGCATTGTGCCTGGTGTATATAGTATGTGCTATGTCATTATTGTTGGTGCTCTTACTATAGCAGCCTACCTCTCTTTTAAAAAACCTGATGAATGTCAAATTTTTAAAGACTGACCACTTCAAGAGATACACTTTAAAATACTTTTTCTGTGGCTTCTTATTCAGATTTTTATTCAAATATATGGCAACACTGAAAAAAAAGAACCTTTTATTCCTGACATATAAGTGACTAAAAAATAATATATTTCATGGATTTAGAAATTCTGACTAGAATTAAGATAGTATGATTATTCTATATCCCTACTAGAAATGCAAAGAGTTGAAATTCAGCTACCTTTAGTACTAATTTAAAATCATTCCTTACTTCCTCTAGAGCATTTTTTTTCTGCACAATTAGAATTTAGTTTTACTTTTTGTAAGTTTACTGTTGGGAGAAAAGTCTGTTTATTGAATTTACATGTTTTTTTTTTTTTTTTTTTTTCTCATTACAAGCTTAGTATTACAATTTTTAATTCAGGTTCTCTTAACATTTTGTCTGCATTTTAATTTAGATTTGTAAGAAATCTTTTACTCGAAGACCACACTTGGAGGAACATATGATTCTACATTCTCAAGATAAACCTTTTAAGTGTACCTATTGTGAAGAACATTTTAAATCACGGTTTGCTCGGTTAAAGCATCAAGAAAAATTCCATCTGGGTAAGCAAGTTACTTTTTCTTAAGGCAGCCATGACAATTTTAATTATCACATCATGTTGGAGGAGCCTTCTACAGCTGAATTACTCTTTTTCTTCTAGAAGACTTTTTAAGAGTGGTTTTAGGTTCACAGCAAAATTGAGAGGAAGGAATAGATAGTTCCCATATACCCTCTGCCTCCACATATGCACAGCCTCCCCCATTATCAGCAGTTCTTCACCAGAGTGGTACATTTGTTACAATCGAAGAACCTACATTGACACATCATAATCATCCAAAGACTCTAGTTTAAACTAGGGTTCACTCTCAGTATTGTATATTCTGTTGTTTTAGACAAATCTGTAATGACATGTATCATTATGGTATCGTACAGAATAGTTTCACGGCCCCGAAATTTCCCTGTGCTTCTCCATTTGTCTCCCGCACCAACCCCTGGCAACCACTGACCTTTGTACTTTGTTGGATGGTTCATTTTTTTTAGATACCTCATCTACTACTTGAAGATCTTTTTACTGTCTCCATAGTTTTACCTTTTCCAGAATATCATATGGTTGGAATCATACACTGTGTTGCCTTTTCAGGTTGGCTTCTTCCACTTAGTATAGTGCTAAACGATACAATTGGCCCTCCATATCTATGAATTCCATGTCTGTGGATTCAACCAACTGTGGATCGGAGATATTAAAAAAGAAATAACAAAACATAACAATACAACAATAAAAAAAATACACTTTAAAATATAGTATAACAGTGATTTACATCACATTTCCATCATATTAGTATTAAGTAATCAAGAGATGATTTAAAGTTTATGGTAGGATGTGCATAGTTTGCATGTAAATACTATACCACCTTATATAACGGAATGGAGCATCCATGGATTTTGGTATTCCAGGCCATCCTGGAACCAGTCCAGTCCCTCACGGATACCTAGGGAGGACTTTATTCCATTGTCTGGATATACCACAGTTTATCCATTCACCCACTGAAAGATATCTTGGTTGCTTCCAAGTTTTGGCAGTTATAAATAAAATTGCTATAAACATCTATATGTAGGCTTTTTTGTAGACTTAGGTTTTCAGTTCCTTTGGTTAAATACCTAGGAGAACAAGGTCTGGATCAGATGGTAAGAGTATAATTAGTTTATAAGAAACTGTCAAATTGTCTTCCAAAGTAGCTGTATCATTTTGCATTCCCATGAGAATGTCTGTCACTTCATGTTCTTGCCAGCATTTGGTGTTTTCTGTGTTCCAAATTTTGGCCATTGTAATAGGTTTGTAGTGGTATCTCATAGCATTAATTTGCATTTTCCTGATGGCATATAATGTGGAGCATCGTTTTATATGTTTATTTACATCTATATATCTTCTTTGGTGTGGTGTCTGTTAGTTCTTTGGCCCAATTTTTTTTTTTTTTTTTTTTGAGACAGAGTCTTGCTCTGTCGCCCAGGCTGGAGTGTAATGGCGCAATCCTGGCTCACTGCAACCTCCACCTCCTGGGTTCAAGTGATTCTCCTGCCTCAGCCTCCAGAGTAGCTAGGATTACAGGTGCCCACCACCACGCCCAACTAAGTTTTTTGTATTTTTAATAGAGACGGGGTTTCACCAGGTTACCCAGAGTGGTCTCAAACTCCTGACCTCAGGTGATCCACCTGCCTCGGCCTCCCAAAGTGCTGGGATTACAGGCATGAGCCACCATGCCCAGCTGGCCCATTTTTTCATCAAGTTGTTTACTTATTGTTGAGTTTTGAGAGTTCTTTGTATATTTTGGATAACACTTATCAGATATTTCTTTTCAAGTATTTCCTTTCAAGCTGTGAATTTTCATCATCTTGACAATTTCTGTGACAGAGGAAAATTTTAATTTTAATTAAGTCCAATTTATCTATTGTTTCTTTCATGGATTGTGCAAAGTTATTGCAAAACCTAAGGTCATCTACATTATTGTGATCCATTTTGAGTTTACTTTTGCAAAGGATGTAAAGTCTGTGTCTAGATTCTTTTTTTTTTTTTTTTGGTCTGGATATCCATTTGCACTAGGACCATTTCTTAAAAAGACTATCCTTGCTGTATTGTATTGCTTTTGCTTCTTTGTGAAAGATTAGTTGACCATATTTATGTAGGTCTGTTTCTGGGCTCTGTATTCTGTTCTATTGATCTATTTTTTTTATTTTTATTTTTGCCAATACTATACTGTCTTGATTACTGTAACTTTATAGTAAGTGTTAAAGCCAAGTAATGTCAGCCCTCCAACCTTACTCTTCTCCTTCAATGTTGTGTTGGCTCTTCTGGATCTTTTGCCTTTCCATATTAACTTTAGAATCAGTTTGTTGATATCTACAAAATGACTTTCTGGGATTTTGATTGGGATTGCATTGAATGTATAGATCATGTTGTGAAGTTGAGTCTTTCCATGAACATGGGATATCTTTTCACGTGTTTAGTTTTTCTTTGATTTCTTTCATCGAGTTTTGTAGTTTTCTCATATAGATCTTGTACTTATGTTGTTAGATTTATTCCTAAATGTTTCATTTTGGGAGATTGTTGAACTACCATTAGTGAACCTTGAGTATTGGCTTAGGCAAAGAAAGTCATATAAATTGGAAGGAGTACTGTATATGTCACAGTTCTTGGAGATGTGTCAATGTGTTTTTTTGTGTGTGTTGGGTTTTTTTTTTTGTTCCTTTTTTGGATGACAAATGTGCCAGTGGGCATAAGCTGTGCATTTATTCATAGTTGACGTTGCATAGGTTTGTGAGTGCTTAGGATGAGACGTTCTTATTTTGGAAAAAGATAATTTTTCAAGGAGTAGAATAAACTTAATATATTTGGAATTCACTATAGTATTTAATGAAATACCTCCCTAATGCTTAGGCCAAGGTGGAGAGTTGTGGTCTAGATAGCAGTATACTTCGGTAAATTTATGACTATTAATCCCACTAATGAATTTTGTCATTACAGGTAGAGGCCCTCTCCGTGTTCAATTCATTACCTTTGTTAACAACTTAAATAAAAATATACACTTCATTGCTTATGAAATTGATAGATGTCATAAAGCTGGCAAGGGTATTTAATATACTAGAAAATAAACATATTTTAAAAATCTATATGTTATACAATAGGTCATAACAAATTATGTTAAAATTAATTAAGAAATACAAAACTAGGTTGCGTGCAGTGACTCATGCCTGTAATGCCAGCACTTTGGGAGGCTGAAGCTGGCAGATCACCTGAGGTCAGGAGTTCGAGACTAGCCTGACCAACATGGAGAAACCTTGACTCTACTAAAAATACAAAATTAACTGGTCATGGTGGCAGATGCCTGTAATACCAGCTACTCAGGAGGCTGAGGCAGGAGAATCTCTTGAACCCAGGAGGCAGAGGTTGCGGTGAGCCAAGATCACACTATTGCACTCCAGCCTGGGCAACAAGAATGAAATTCTGTCTCAAAAATATAAATAAATAAATAAATAAACAAACAAACAAACAAATAGTTGTAAACTTAAGGGAGTGATCTTTTAGTCATTAAGTCTTTAAGAACTATAAAATAGTTTATCATCCAAAGTACTCACTTTACAGACGATCATAAAGGCAGAGGCTTTTTGGACACAGTGTGAACCAATAATATGATATGATTTACAAAACCAGTGTAGTTTTAAACTATATTAATAAAAGTCTGTTTTTCAGAATTAGGGAAATAATAGTCTGATTTTGAATTGATCTGGAAAATTGCATTCATTTCTGTATACCACATTTAAGATGGATATTGACAAATATATATTTTAGAGATGGGTAATTTTGGTGATGTAGAGTCTTGAAATCATATCATGTGAAAAACATGGTCCTTGAAATATTTTATCCAGGAAAGGAAGATAGAGCAGCTGTCTTCAAATACTTTCAAGGCACTATTGTGCAACAAGGGAGTCTTAATCTTTGTGAGTTTAGTATATAAGACTAGTATATGCTGGAAGATTATTTACCTGAAGCTTAATCTCTCCAAATTGCCTTTACTAAGTTGTTTTCTTTCACAGTATCCAGTTTCAGCATTTCTAAGAAGCCATCATGTAGAAACAGTTTTTATAGTTACCAAACTGTAGTTGACATGTTCTTGATTCTGTTTCATGGGAGAAATTTCTTTAGTTTAGTTCCAAAAAAAGTAGTTTGTATTGGAGAATTGGTGCACTTCTTTCTTTTTGATATGAAAATTTTTAGGTAATCTTTTTGGTCCCACCTTGTAGAAACATCAGAGGGAAATATAATAATTTTTTAAGTGTTAGAACTTACAAACTAACTTGTCTTACACAATAGTTACTTGCCCATCAGTGAAATTATACAAGTATACAAGCATATGCTGAACTTACCTTACTAGCTGTTAGAGTTGTTGAAAAGGGCATTCTTTAGAAGTGGTTGAACTAAAAGATTTTTATGACTTGTTAAGAGATTCTTCTATCATCCTGCAGCATACCAATAATGAGAGAGGTGTTCCAGAAATGTTAGGCAGAAAGGCTTAGCTAACCTACTATCTAATATTTATGGCAGAAAATACACAAGGAAAGTACATTCAACGTTCAAAATAGTAAATATTTATGGAACAACTGCTAACTGTATGATCAGCTCAATGTTAGGACCTGGGGATACTATTTCTGCCAAATTAAATTATAGTGCAATAGGTAATCTAACCAGTAAATAAATCATTACATTTTAGTACTGTGTACACACAAATATTTTATAACTGATTAGGTAATTTGTATGATTTTTAATAAGAGTTGACATTTACTGGGTTAAGTTGACATTTAATAGAAGAAAAAGTTTAGTAAGTGTGGCATGATGTGGAAGTGGAAGTAGAAGACTTTCTAGCCAGGCTTGTTTTCTGAGTCTGACTTAGCCACTTACTATGTGATCTGGAACAGCCTCTCAGACTTCCAACTTCCTCTTTTGTTAAAATGAAGTTAATACATACTTCTTAGATACTGTTGTGAGGATTAAAAGAGTTACTGTATAAGTGCCAAATGTAGAGCCAGGCATGGTTTTCATTCTCTTTCTCTGAATATGTTGTCATTTCAAGTATTATAATTTTCAGTCTTTCCAAGACCTTTGAGAAATATGGCTTGTGACATAGTAGCTTTGCATTTTGGGCCACTATTATTTCAGAAAATACACCGAATAGAGTATTCTTATGAGTATTTTCTGTGTTTGTGTGTGTACATATGTTTACATATGTATGTATACATGCAAATATAAAATACACAAAGCAATATTATATATATATATAGAGAGAGCTTCTTTTGCATTCCATCTCTATGCTTCTGTTCCCTTGTATCACTGTATACTTTAGATAAGTGCATCATGCAATTTGGTGTATATCACAAGCACTTGGAGACCTTATTAAAATGAATTTCCCAGAGTATCTGATTGAGATAGTTCTGGAGTATGGCCCCAAATTTGTATTTGCGTTTGGAACTTGTACAATTTGCATTTGGTACAAGTTCCCAGGTAGTGCTGGTGCAAATGATCTAGATATCACATTTTGATAACATCTGCTTTAGGTTATTCAAAACAGTACTCATACTGTCTACATTAGGAATATATATTCTGTTAAATCAGGGGGAAAGATATGTAAGTAATGCAATCTGAACAGTTAAAGGAGAAGAATTTTTAATATATATGAATATATATGTGTAAAAGTTGTAGTTTGGCTTTTAAAAGTCAGATCTTGGCCAGGCATGGTGACTCACGTCTGTAATCCCAGTACTTTGGGAGACAGAGGTAGGAGGATCACTTGAGCCCAGGAGTTCGAGACCAGCCTGGGCAACCTAGTGAGATGTTGTCTATAAAAATAAATAAATAAATAAAAGAGGAGAGGCTGAAGTGGAAGGATTGCTTGAGCCCGGGAGGTTGTTTAAATAGGTTTAGCCACATGCAAAACTGGATATCCAGTATAGGAAAAAAATGTAGTTGTTGTTTTCTTTGAAGAATCCTCATAAGTAACTGAATATTGAAGAGAATGCTTCATTTCTTCCTTTGCCCAGCTGAAACCTCCAGCTATACATATAGTCATATTTTATTAAAAGTTTTACTAGTAGATATTTCATTCTTTGACTAACCACATATTTTGCATAATAACCTTATTTTGGCACTTGTATTTACTTCACCTTTATTTTTCAGCTATGTAAATACTGACTTTCCTTTTCTCAATGTCTTAGAGCCTTTTTTTGGTTCCGAAGAAGTGGAGAGATTTTTCATAATACTTAACACAGTGCTTGATGTGAATTAAGAATCAATAAATACTTGTTGAATGAGTTAATAAATTAGTAAAATGTTTAGAGCCATGGAAAATGAAATGTTAGAGATTTTAAATGAGAATACGTTAAAGATACTAATGTGTAAAACACATGGAAATTTACCCAGATCTACTGTGGCTACCAAGCAATTTTGCTTATAGTTATGTTTCTGAATTTCAGTGTCTTAATTCTGTTTTCTTTCTATTGTGCTATTATGATTAATTCATTAGAATTGTTTCTTCAGTTTGTCCTTCCATATACTGAGATGTCTTCTTGCAAATATATAGCTTCTGTATTTATTAAACTTCTTTTTTATGCATTCTTTGTCTGTCTTAGATTTTGTCAGTCAGTAGAACCCTGTCTTGTCTCCAGTTGTTTATTTGGTAAAATCATAGTGAAATTCCAAATCCAACTAATGTCAGTATTACTATGAGAGGCCTGGGCTTAATTTTGTACCACCAAATAGAAATATTTCCAAACTATGAACTCTCTTAAGTCCTCCATTTGTTCTTCCAAAGTTTTTTATTACGCACTTTCCCAAAAACTTTAGTATGCAGCCATTTCTACTTTGTTCCAGTCTGATTTCAAATAAGGAATTGGCCATTTCAATTTGTTAACTCATTAGTTTGTTCAACATTTATTGTCTGTTAGATGCTGAGCCCTATACTTGGTTATAGGGATATGGAAATGTTATTCTAGGAATAAACAACGTAGAAGAGAAATTGCAGTGTATTATGACATATGTGCCAACAGAATAGGCATGAACTTACAGCATACCTATTAAATTTAACTTAGTATCTCCTCTTTAAACTTTAAATGCACACTCTTTTTTCCTTTTTAGGTCCTTTTCCATGTGATATATGTGGTCGCCAGTTTAATGACACTGGAAATTTGAAACGTCATATAGAATGTACTCATGGTGGAAAGAGAAAATGGACTTGCTTTATCTGTGGAAAATCAGTACGAGAAAGGTGAAGAATTATCTGCACACCCAGAAACATCCTAGTACTATCAATGAATATGATTTATAAGCATTAGGGTAACGTAAGACACAACATGCATGAATTGTGCTTTAGTTTGAAATATAAGGAAAAAAGGAATTACACAAATGTTATGGAAGATGATATGGAGTCAAGATTTGCAGGTTTTAGATGGATGATTTAATGTACATATTTTATGTCTTTCTGAAACCCCACTAAAACTAGATTAAGGGTTTTTGTTTGTTTTTTAAAAAGAATAAGCTACAAAGATAGGGACAACAGAAATGTAACAAGAATGACACAGATTTGGAAGCTATAAAACAGATGGATCAGTGGCAGTTGACTTAGCAGATCTAAGAAAGACAAACCCCAAAGTGGAAATGCAGAAATGTGAGAACATAGTTTACATCACAGAATCTGTGGCAGTATTAGGTACCTCGGAACTGGGTTGAAGGAGAGGCAGAACAAGGAGCACTAGATTAAAAACTTTAGAAGTTTTAGAACTAATATCATTGGATTCTCTTCCACCATCTACTCATGCCATTGCTAGTAGACACCTGTCCCTCTCCCAAGAGTATTGCTAGACCAAAGTATGCCACATAGCTACATGATGGGGTATATTCTGCATGCTGAAAGCAGTGATCTTCAGGCCTTATCTCTGCAAATATCTTGGCTTTTAGATTTTATTCTCCAGGCAGCAGATCCGAAGTTTGTTTCCTGAAAATCTGAGCACCTAAGGGCAAATGTATTCCCTAACAAGTGGTACATCCAGATCACCTACAGTGAAGGCTGAGTTATCAAGACCATCTATGTCCTTTGCCCTTCTCATCAACTTTTTAGCCTATCATACTTAATCAAGAGCGGATAGTCAAGGATCATGATACATAAGAGGAAAACCTTTTACATAGAAAATAGTTTCCAACACAGAGAAACAGAAAAAAAAAAAAAGTTTAAGGAAACAGATTATTAACGAAGAAGAAAATTTCAAAAGAAGTAAACAATTACTTTTTTGCCTCAGTTGAAGATACAGAATCCATTAAATGAGAAAAGCATGATATATAAAAGGATCACTCAAGGAATAATTTAGAGCTCTTAGAAATTCAAAGCATGATGGCCAAAGTATAGACTCAACGAGAGGGTTAAAGGACAAAAAGTAGAGCAAAAGCCAGCAATATAAAATAAGGCCTAGAACATTAAAGGATCAGGCAAGTCTAGCATCTGAATAATAGGAGTTTTAGAAAGAAATAACAGAGAAAATAGAGGGGGAAAAATCACCACTGAAATAATTCAAGATGATTTCCAGAGCTGAAAGGTATGAGTTTGCCAGATAGAAATGACGTATCATATGCTTAGATGAAAATAGACCTGTACCAAGGTACATCACTATGATATTTCAGACATGGGGAACAAAGGGAAGGTTTTCTGTGCTTCTAGAGAGAGAGAAAAGTCACATACATTGATTAGAACTGCTTGGACTTTTAACAACATCAACACTAGAAGTAGGACCATAAAGTAGTACCTGTAAAATTCTGAATGAAAATAATCTTCAACCTAGAGCTCTGTTCTCAACTAACCAATAAAATCTCAAGACAGAATAAAGATATTTTCGTGGTGCCAAAAAATAAGCTTTTAATGTACTCTTTCTCATAAAGCTACTGGGTGTGCTCCACCATTTGGGTGTGCTCCACCAAAATGAGGGAATAAACTCATAAAGAGGAAGACAAGGGAAATAGCTATAACATGGGAGAGAAGCAAAGACAGAACACAGGAGGATGGTGAAAGAAGATCCCAGGATGTCAGGTGTACAGCATATGTAATGGGTGGACTGTTAGTAGTATGACCCAAGACATGATGGGGATTATTGCCACTGTCCCTGCTAGCATGTTTCTTCTTTTAACTAGGGAACAGAATGCTAGAAAGGTCTGATTTCTTACCTGTACTGTGCCTCTGTCTAGTACCTCTGTGTGCTAATAAGGTTCCTACTCTTATACTTTATGCCCTTTTCCTTGATTTAACTGAGGATACTCATTTCATAGAAATGTCTTTTTTCGAGCTCTCCATGAGAATTAGAGGCAGGTCATGGTAAACTTAGAAGGAAAATATATAGAGCAGCCTACTTATTTTGACTCTATTTCTGCCAGACTTTCAGTAGCTGGTCTATTCTAGCTCTGCCGGATACTTCAAGTATGGTGAAACCTTTGTTTTCCAGTACTTTTCATCACTTTAATTACTGATGTGCCAGAAGGAGCTAGACTCTGATCTGGAGATCCTGTTCGTACTGTCTTCTGGGCCCTTTATCTAATAGTGACAATATTATTAGGTTTGTGCTTGTTACTCAGGTTTTCAAAAGCATATGATATCTTGTTTAGTTTTTTATTCTTTATATATGTATTATTTCTGAGGGGGGTGGTAAGGAGAATGAGATCAGGGAGGAGTAGGGGTAGACATTCTAAGGTACTAGTAATGTTCTTATTTTGCATCTAAGTGTTTACTGTTCTTTAAACAGTACTTATAAATTTTTTATACTCTGCAGTATATAAGAGTTTTATAATTAAAAAATGAGAAATGCCATGTTCTTAAAATAGCAGATACTATGGTCAAATAGGAAAGTCAGTATACTAAATGAAAACATTTACGCATTGATAAATTATAAAGTTTATTATATATATTATACATTCATTTTTCCCCTTCAAAGATCTTTCTGTAAAAAGAAAAAGCAAACAAGGCAAAACAAGAATCCCAAAGATAACCTTTCTATCTTTTACTACAACTATTTAATAGGTAGAGATCTGGGAATATCTTTAGGGATATTTTCCTCAAAGCTGGGTATAGCTACAGACTGTCATATTGGTGGGCCTTGTAGAAGAGCACCATCTACTGGCAAAACTCTACTTTTATTTCAGATTCATCCTTTAAACTTACTAGGTATGAGATTGAAATAAAAACCAAGTACAGTCATGCGCTGCTTAATGATAGGGCTATGTTTGGAGAAAAGCATTGTTAAGCAGTTTTGTCATCACGCAAATATAGAGTGTACTTATGCAAACCTAGATGGTATAGCCTACTACACATGTAGGCTATGTGGTTTAGCCAGCCTATTGCTCCCAGGCTACAAACCTGTATAGCATGTTACTGTACTGAATATTGTAGACAATTGTAACACAGTGGTAAGTATTGATATATTTAAACATACTTAAGCATAGAAAAAGTACTGTAAAAATGGTATAAAATATAAAAAAGAATATATGTATTTGTGTAGGTTACCAATCATGAGTGGAGCTTGCAGGACCAGAAGTTTCTCTAGGGGAGTCAGTGAGTGAGTGGTGACTGAATGTGAAGGCCTCAGGCATTACTGTACACTAATGTAGACTTTATAAACACTGTACATTTAGGTTTCACTAAATGTATTAAAATTTTTTTCCCTCAAATTAACAGCAGCTTACTGTAACATTTTTATTTTATAAACTTTTGATTTTTTCAACTTTCTTATTTATAGTAACACTTAGCTTAAAACACAATTGTACAGCTGCGTAAAGATATTTTATTTTATATAAGCTTTTCTGTATTTAAAAAAATTTTTTTTTTGTTTTACTTTTTAAACTTTTTTTGGTTAAAAACAAAAGACACAAACACAAACATTAGCCTAGGCCTACGCCAGGTCAGGATTGTCAGTATCACTGTCTTCCACCTGCACATCTTGTCCCACTGGAAGGTCTTCAGGAGCAGTATATGCATAGAGCTGTCATGTCCTATGGTAACAATGCCTTCTTAGAGAATACCTCTCGAAGGACTTGCCTGAGGCTGTTTTACAGTTAGCTTTCTTTTTTTTAATAAGTAGAAGTAGTACACTCTAAATAATGATAAAAAGTATAGTAAATACATACCAGTAACATAGTCGCTTATCATTATCAAGAATTACGTACTGGACACAATTGTATGTGCTATACTTACATATAATTGGCAATGTAGTAGGTTTGTCTACAACAGCATCACCACAAACATGTGAGTAACGTATTGTGCTATGATGCCACTAGGTTATAGGAATTGTGTAGCTCCGTTGTAATCTTACGGGACAACATTGTTTATATGGTCTGTCATTGATTGAAATGTCATTATACAGTACATGACTATAGTAGTGATAGCTAAAAGCCTGCAGAGGTCAGTCATATTTCCCTTTTGCTTTATTTCCCCTTAAAATAACTTTGTCCATTATTACTCAGCACTTTAGATATGTGGGGAAGCTTTGAAGGTTAGAACTGTAGGAATTGCTAGTGATGTACTTTGAGGAGTAATGGTTTCATAGTAGCCCATCCAGGGCCAGTGGGGCTGGAAGACTTAGGAACAGCAATAATTATATTCTGTATATAGGTTCCTTTTTCACATCAGCACCTGGAAGTTAGAAATACCTACAACATTTTATTTGCTTTACAACATTTTTTCAACAAATACTAAGCACATATTTGGAAGAAATAGTACTGATAAACTGGATTACTTCAATATTATTAAGCCCTCTCTATCAAAATTCAGATCAATTTAATTCAGTGTCATAATGAGCGTTTTAAAATTATACTTCTTGAAAGTCTGCTTTACTTGTATAATTAAATCTCTGAGCAAACCAATGGCAAATGAGGCTGAAGTATTTTTTGTTTTTAAGGAGAGAGAGCTATAATGAGCATGTTTATATACTAGTGAGAATAGTAAAGGACAAAATTATTGTAGGAGAAAGAGGAGAGAATTGTCATAATATCAGTTAGCTTGAATACCTTTCTAGTAAGTTTTCCACAAATCTATTTACTATATACATTGGCATTTTAAAAATCTTTGAATATACATATTTTAATGCAGAACTACTTTGAAAGAACATTTGAGAATCCATAGTGGAGAAAAGCCTCACCTTTGTAGTATTTGTGGGCAAAGTTTTCGTCATGGAAGTTCATATAGGTAAGTAAAACCATTTTTTCCCTTTATTAAGATGGAATTATATCTCTATTTTAGTTCTATTTTCTTATTATTCTCTATTTAGTTCTATTTACTTTGTTGAATTGAAACATTTCTTAGTCCTTATGATATGCAAAGTTGTGCAAAGTTGTGCAGAAACTTTACTGTTTGGATTTTTTTTTTTTACTAAACATTTTATTATCTTTATTCTGTGGTATAAAATATTATTAAATATTTTCTCACACCAAGTTTGCAGAAGGCTTTACTAAGGCATTATTTAAATATTTATTTCATTACTTTTCTCTGAATGAAAATTCAGTTAAACTTAGTGCATTTCTCCACTCTTTACTATCAAAGAATATTTTAATATAAAAGGCAAAACAAAAATCTCCCTATTCTCAATTTTCCAAAGTCTTTTGTGCATTAATAATGATTATAACTTATTTAGTTATTTTTATGGTTGAATCCTTGACCATATTTGCAGTTTATGAAAAGTTTTTTCTAAATAAATAATAATGTAACTAATTCTGAAATGTGTGTACAATTTTAATTTTTATTAAATTGTTCTTATATATAAGGCTTTAATGTATACACTTTCATTTATTGTTTATCTTGTTTTAAGTTTAAATTGAATACTTCTCCTTTAGAGGTAGTCTAGTCAGTTGGTCTTGGTAAAATCAACACTTATTTTGGCAATTTGCAAAGGAAAGCTATTCCTTTCATTAGAATATGTAGAGAGATGGAGGCTCCAGAGATAAAATTCATTCAACTTAAACTAATCTTAATAATCTAAGCCTTTTATACTGTCTTTGGGTGACTATAAAATGGGCCCCATTTTGTTCTATTGGTGTGAAGAAAAGCAGTAAAATGTAATTTTCATGAAGTGGAGTTCTTATAAAAGATAGAAAATGATTAAATATCAGTTTGTGGTTGATAACAATTATCTAGAATAGGGCAAATTCTCCATTATTTGCTGTATTACTCTGTTTTCACACTGCTATAAAGACATACCTGAGACTGGGTAACTTATAAGAAAAAAGGTTTAATTAACTCACAGTTCCGCATGACTGGGGAGGCCTCAGGAAACTTACAATCATGGAGGAATATGAAGGGCAAGCAAGGCACGTCTTACCTAGGTGAAGCAGGAGAAGGAGAGAGTGGGGGCAACTACTAACACTTTTAAAGCATCAGACCTTGTGAGAACTCACTGACTGTCACAAGAACAGCATGGGGAAACTGCCCCCAAGATCCAGTTGCCTGCCACCAGGTCCCTCCTTCAATATGTGGGGATTACAATTTGAGATGAGATTTGGGTGGGAACACAGAGCCAAACCATATCATTTACTGTATCGTTTGCTATCATGATATGCTTAGTCACTTGTACACTTACTTCATTTGTCTGATTCTAATTCCTTTCTGATTACTACACTTTTGATATTTTTGAGTCTTGGTCAGTCAGCTAAATAATAACCTTAGACATTTGATAGATTCAGTGAACCAGATTTAGGATCTAATATGATGGGAAGGAATAATGTTGAGAAGTGGTTTGAGCATATACAAATGTTGAAATGCTTTCTTGAAAGAGATGAGTAGGGACCTGGGGTCAGGTGGTAAAAGACTGAAAAGGACTCTGAAGGTCATAGAAATAAAGCCAATAATATATGAGTAGTTGAATAGACAGCCCAGTTTTCATTGTTTATTCATCATTTATTCATTATTGAGCTTTTCCCTTCTGTGTCACCAGTTTTAATGGTGTTCAATTTTTTTTTCTTTACAGACTTCACTTACGAGTACATCATGATGATAAAAGATATGAGTGCGATGAATGTGGAAAAACATTTATCCGTCATGATCACCTTACAAAGCACAAAAAAATACATTCAGGTATACCGTGTTTTGTAATGCTAGTTCCAAAATCCTTTTTAAATACCTGAAAAGAACATCATATGATGTTATGTTTATGTTGGCTATAAGTTTAATAATTTGGTTTATGCTCGTCACTTCTTTGTAATTCTGGTTCTAAAACATTTTTTAAAAACATCCAAAAGGGACATAACTTTATGACATAGTCACTGTAATTTTAATTATTTGGTCGCCCTTTGTGACTGTAAAGTGTAGTTTAAAGTTTAATTTTAAATAAATTCTCAAAATTTGCATTTTGCATATTACATGGATATATCTAATAATTGCTATTGACACTTCCCTAAAGGGAGAAGCTGTGATAATATTTCTGATTTTGATTGGATTTGAGAAGTTGGTGAAACTTACATGTTAAAAGGGAAATGATTAAAATTGGGTGTTAAAAGTATATGTTATAGTGAATTTTGAAACTCTGTTTTTGGAGAAGAGTACCTTAATAATCCTGACCAATTTCAGATCTTTATACTGTATAATTTTTATATTCTGGGGATTTCTTTCGTATTTTCCTCTCAGATTGATGTTCAGGAAGTGCTAAGAGAGCCAACTCTGTGAGCACAATAATGGGAAAGAGCCATCTCTATGAGCACGGTAGAACAGGTGATTATTATTATTATTTTAAACATAATTTTTGAATATAAAGTATGCAACAGATAGTAATTATTTTCTGAAATGATCTCAGTGAGGTAGGTTGCAGTTGTTATCACCACTTCTAAGATATACTAAAAATCAGATGACTTTTTCCATTGGAATTATGCCTTTTTATTTTTAGGAGGAGAATTCTTAATTTCTAACTCAGAGGCCACATGCCTTAATTGCACACTGGTATTGAGACAGTGATTGTTTTTTTTAAACCAAGCCTTTGTAAGTAAATGTAAGAATAGAGATGAGAAATTGGACTTACGTCGAATTTTTCATTATATTTATATTTTGGCTCATTGCAAACATAAGAAATCCTCACAGATGAAAAATCTTTTAAAAGTACAAAGATCTGAAAATGTTTGGGTCCTTTTTATAAACAGTAAGACAGCCTCATCTTAATGTGTATCAATTTGAGGTGTTTGATATATATATATATATTTTTTTTAAATGCCTAAGTTTTGAAGTAGTTTCATTTATCTTGCTCTGTTACGTTGAAAGGTATGATTTGAAGTATACAGCAAAAGGCTATTGATTCTTTTTCCAAGCGGGGAAAAGATTCACATCCATGAAATTAAGCATAAATTTTTGAAGAAAGTTATTTGAGTAAGGAATATAGAGCAAATAGTGCAGAATAAAATGTGGCTTTACTTTCCTGTTATATTTGACATCATGTGATCTTACTGTTTGATAGTTTGTTTCTGGGGATAAAAACCTGAAAGGTATATTATAATCAAAATATTTGGGTCTTTATTTTAAGGTGAAAAAGCTCATCAGTGTGAAGAATGTGGAAAATGTTTTGGTCGTAGGGATCATCTCACTGTTCATTACAAAAGTGTACACCTTGGAGAGAAAGTGTGGCAAAAGTAAGTGAAAAAGCAAAATGTTTCATAATTTACATTGCCTAAGTCTCTGAGGAAAGTTGTAACTTTTTAAATTTACTTTGTTTAATTGAAGTTAGGTTAACCAGTTGTTTTTCTCTACATTCTGTAGCATCTCTATGGACCTAAAAGAATTCAGCAAGCATATTTTTTCCTCCTTGTTTTCAGTTAATTCAAAGGCCAGGAAGGTGACATGCAAGTTAACAATAATTAATAAAAAATCTTAGCATTTGGTTGCTGAGGCTCTTTGAGAGCTAAATATACTGACTATATATTATACTTAATAAGACAGCAATTGTTAGGAAATGTTTGCAGTCAGAATTTAAACTTGTTTCTAATCATACTAAGCATTTAAAATATTATTTTATTTAAAGGTGGTATGTGCTATCTTGAACATCAGCTTTTTAATATAATTTAGATATCCAAGTTTAACTGAGGTTAGTTGCTAAGTGTAAAACGTTCAAGTAATTCATGTTTTTGGATTAGGCATTTGGGCAAATGATAAATAACAGACATGTTCTAAAGTGCCAAGAGACTTAACTTAATAGTCCTGCGCATGATTAGCAAAATGTACATAGTATATATAAATGTAGTAAATCAAAGACCAATTTAAAGAGTAGTAGAAAGTGTTGATTTGTAATCATTTTTTACATTTTCATGTGTTGGTTTATTTATTATTTATTTCATTAATTTTGTTTGATGATTCACTCATTGAATCAATGTATTCACTGAACTCTTGTATTTTGTATATGTAAGGAATGATAGTATTTGCTGGGATATAAAGATATGCTGTTTAAAAAAGGAAATAGTAACTTCAATTCATTGTGCAGATAGACTTAAAACTACAGGCTCACTTACTCCAAAGGTCCTGTAACTTTTTTTCTTCATGATTTCTTTATAACCTTACAAATTATTTGGCTTTTAGATATATAAATTATATAATAATATAATATGAATATATTTTAATATATTAATATATCTTAATATAAATTATAATGTAAGATAATATAAAAATATAACTTATTTAAATAAATAATTTGAATCATTAGAAATAAGACATTTTCAAATATTAATTCATTTGCTATCATATGCTAACATAAATAGCGATTTTTAAAGAAATAACTACAAAACAAAATATTAAAAGAGCAACATTATTTTACATTTTTATAAATCTCTCATGGCTTAATAGAAGACTGCAGCATTGTCATAGCTGTTGTGATATGTTATGTTGGTTGAAGCAATGAAGAAAACCTAGCCTTACATAGATATGTAGTTTGAAAAAAGAGGAATATTGTTAATAGTCTTCTCAGGTAATTATAGATATTCCTCTTTATTACTACACTAAAGCTAAACAAGTGGTAGTTTCCTAAAGGTAGTTGTAAGGTGGAATGTGAAACAGGATTAATGAGGTTTTCACACTCTATTACATTCAATCTCTTGGTCTCTTATACATTGAATGGATTTTTTTTTACCATGCATAATTTTGTAAGATCATGTGTTTGTTATTGAGAAAATATGGGCTCACTGAGTTATGCAGATTTTCCAAATGTTAGCACATTTCACAGCATACTATTAACAGATCACATTTGTTAATATTGCCTCCAGTCTCTCAGAAAGAAGTACTGGAAAGCTGTCAAGATCACAGTGGTAAATACAAGTATTCCAAAGTTCTTATATTAGCTTGAAAGCTCAGATTTTATCATTGATAGCAAACATTGTCGGCTGTTTGTCTTGAAGTGACCAGCTCACTTCATTTCATTTTTGAGAGGTGCTTTTCCTTGAGATAACCATCATGTTTTGGTATATAGTAGAAGTGCTTCATGTGTACTTCTCATTTTATCAGAGAATATTTAAAAGGCCAAGGCCTGAAAGGGCAAAATATAATAAAATCAGTAATCTTACTCTTTCATTACATTTTTTTCTTTTTGTGACTATATGGTAGTAAAGAATACAATTATTAGTAAATTTTAATACTACTGCTTTACTTAGAGCTAAGTAAGATACTAGCAGTGTACCAGCAGTTTACCCACTGTTCCGTTTGCATCGTAGTGTCAATGTCAGCATAGTTAAAAAGGCAGATAATGTCTTATTATTTTGAAAAAAATGTTGATCTTGTGGACCCTGTGAAAGGAGTTTTGGGACCTACCATCACCTTTTATTTAACAGGCCTGTGGCCCTGTTGGCTGGCCTAGATAATTGAGGAACTAGAATCTGTAGACTCTACTTTTTTGCAAAGACTGGCTAATGGTGGTAGATCTAGAATATGGAGCCCTATGTATCATTTTGTGGAACTTGTGCTTCATTCTACATGTTAACAAGCCAATGAAAATTTTAAACAAAGGAGTGACACTGCTGGATTTGTATTTTAGGTATATCGCTTTTACTGATGTATGGAGGTTGGATTTGTGATGGATAAGTCCAGAGGCAAGTATATCAACCAGTTAGACAGCTGTTATAATCTGAGAAAAAGATAATGAGGGACTAAAGTCAGGAGTTGCATTAGTAATGAAAAGTGATATTTATTTGAAAAACATTTAGGCCCTTGTTAGCAATACTTCATGATTGACTTCGGGGAGTAAGGGAATAAGGGCAGTCATAGATGATTTCTATTTGCAAGCCTGGGTGGATGATTCCAGCCACTGAGATAAGAGAATAGAAGAGATGATTAACTTATAGAGGGAAATGATGAATTGTTTGGTGTTTATTGACTTTGAGATGCTCAATATAAATTGTCAACATAAAATTTGATGGATAGTAGTCTAAATCTCAGGAATGAAGTTTGGGCTATGGATAAAGATTAAAGGTTGTGAGCATATCAAAGAGTGCTAAGGATTAACACCCCTCCAACCAATTATTTTTCTAATCTTTGCTTCTAAACTTTTTTATGGTGACTACTTCAGTAACCACTTCTTCACATTCCAGTCAGTGTGGCAATCTGACCTCTGATCTTATTCTGCTCAAACAGTTATCAGTATGACTTCCTTGTTGCCAAATCCAATAGGCATTTTTAAGTTCTTTTTTTACTGACATCTCTGCTTCAGTTGGAATTGTTTATGCTCTCCTTCCTTGAAAATCTATATGGCTTAGCATCCATGTGATAATGACAAGATATATTTTCATAGGGTCTTAGCCATGCAAGGCCCTACAGAATTTATCCTAAGTCCACTGTGAGGAAGTTAAAGTGTTTTGTGCATATTTGTGTTGAAAATATCACTTTGTTCATAGTATAGAGCAAGGTTTCTCAGCCCAAACACTGTTGACATTTTGGACCAAGTAATTCTTTTCCTGTGTGTTGTAGGATATTTGTCAATATGCATGACTTCTACCCATTATATGCCAGTAGCACTTATTCTCCTATACCCAGTTGTGAAAAACAAAAACGTCTTCAGGCATTGCCACATGTTTTATGGGGGCAAAACTGCCCCCAGTCGAGTACTGCTTCCTCTTTCTCTATGTGCCCATGTATCTCTGTTTATATTTACCATGGATATGAATGGAATAAGGTAGACCAAGCATTATTCCATAACTCCTGGTTAGGAGTGTTTTGCCAGGGTTATTACTGACAACCTCAATTCACAAAATCCAAATTATCTGTGTAAATGTTTGTTTCAGGAGTTTGACACCAGCCTGGGCAACAAAGTGAGACCCTGTCTCTACAAAACAATAAAAGAAAATAAATTATCTGGGTGTGGTGGCATGTACCTGTAGTCTCAGCTACTCAGGAGGCTGAGGCAGAAGGATAGCTTGAGCCCAGGAGTTCAAGGCTGCAGTGAGCTATTATGATGCCGCTGCACTGCAGTCTGGGTGACAGACCAAGACCCTGTCTCTAACGAAAATAAAAACAACCATCTGTTTCATCAAGTAGAATTAAGTTCCTATAGGAGAGTCCTTTGCATGTTGTCTTATAAATGTTGGGTTGGATAAATTGAAAAATGAGGGACATTTGAAATCCTAGGCATAGTATGTTGCTATTTCGTATTGGTAACAATGTTCTAAACATTTCCAGTAAAACTCAATGGGTATGTTAAGAGCAAACTGTTTTACAGAAGATTAAGTAGCCCAAGTTTGATTTAATTATTTTGCCATGTATTCATTCCATATGAATTGCTTCCAAGGTGAGATGATGTGGCTTTCTCAATAACTGCCACTTAAATAATAATTATTTTATAAATATCTCAAATTATCACAATACAATTTTCAGTTGAGAACTGTTAATTCAGACACTTCTTAGGCACTATGCTGTGGTGCTTACTAAGTTAATTTTTTTGGTAACTTATTGCTTTATTTCTGTCTAATATTTTATAATAAAAATAAAGGACTAATTTCATTTTTAAATTTAGGTATAAAATTTATTTTATTTATAAGTTCAAATTTACAATTTTTTGTTAGGACACAAACCGATGAGAGCAATTCTACCCTTTTGATAAATGCAGGTTTTGAAATTGCTGCAGATGCTTTTTAATCAGCCTGAGCATCTATTTTTTAAATTTAGTTAAGGTGTAATTTACAGAAAGTGAAATTCATTCTTTTTAGTGTATAATTCTGCAAGTCATGTAATCATCACCACAATTAAGATATGGAATAGTTTCGTCACCACAAAATTTCTGCCATGTCCCTTTCTAGATAGCTCTTCATTTCCCCTTTATGCCACTCTTGATCTGTTTCTATCCTTACAATTTTTCTTTTTGTATATTTGGATAGCTAGTAATAATAAAAGTTCAGTGACTTAAAGCAGTTGAAAATCTACGGACCTCTTTTTATAGATTCGTTTGTTGGATGTAACTGGAAGAGGAAGAACCAGAGGCAAGCTCAACACATTAAAAGTATTTCCATGTTTCTTTGGAGTTCTTTACTTTGTTAATGTGAGAATAATATATATAGTTGTAAATGAATTTGCAACTTATTTTCATTATGTTAGTTATTAATATAATTGTTAATATTGTCAGTTATTAAAATTATATTGAAAAACTCAAATCTTTTTATTTTCTTAGATATAAAGCAACATTTCATCAATGTGATGTTTGTAAGAAAATTTTTAAAGGCAAATCAAGTCTGGAAATGCATTTTCGAACGCATTCAGGTAAATTTTAATGGGTAGTTCATATATATATATATATATATATATATATATAAAATGTGTAATCAGAAGTAAAATATAGGCATTTAAACTTTGTTGTTCTTGGTTAAATTTCTTTGGATTTCCCCATTAAGAGTATTACTTATTATGTTGAAGTTCATGCCCTGATTGAACAATATACTCATCTTCTATTCTCTGTTATGTAAGCTTCAATACTTTTAAATATTTTATAAAACTTGAGAAAAATTCATCCATAGGATATTTAATTTTTGTAATTTTCCCTTTTCTGATTGTCTTACGGTTCTTCTTTATTTCGCTTTCTGAAGGCTTTCCTTAAGTCTTCAGATTAAATTCCTTGTTATCTTTTATTCTCTTCTCTTTTCAAAGAGTAATGCAAATATGACCTCATTGTCTTGTTTACCAAGTTACCATCGTGTCGTTTTCCTTTTTACATAGCCAGTCATGATTTATAGGTAGTTATATTAGAATGCTTTGCGTCAGCTGCCTTCCAGAAGTTGTCATTTTTGAAATCTTTCCTTTTTCTCCCTTGGGAATGTTACTACAGTTTGAAATACAGAATATGTTAGATTCTTTCTTATATATTGTCTGAAGCCTTGTTTGCCTTTACAAATAAATTAACATTTTTAAAACCTTGTTTTCCTTAAGAAACAAACCCATTTATGTATTTATGCCTGCTTTGTTTTATATTCAATTCGGATTTTGTCAAGCTGCTATTCTGGAAGAGAAAAATAAGTGATTTCATAAATATTAGAATGGTAAATAACTGAATTTGGGCAATATTAGTAGCAAATAGTGGCAGTAAAGGATTTACTACTGATACAGTGCTGCTGTTAAAAGCAAAGTTAGACACCCCTCCAAAAAAAAAAAAAAAGGCATAATTTGGGGGAGCATAAATAAAAGTGTAAAATGAGGAAACAAACTTAATGGTATCTTCCATATCTTTTGCAAATAATTAACCTAAAGAACTCATGACTTGAAAGAGATGGTGAACTTATAGAAAGTTAATTTCAAACCATAAATGATTTAAGAATTGTGTACAACTTCAAGAATTTTTCCAGAGTAGAAATTTAGTGCTGGCTATGTTGCATCGAAATTTTTAAAAACACTGATTTATAGTTATTGGTTGGTAGCCAGGGACAGTGTGGAACATCAATCTCTGGATATTTCACAGTTAATTGGAATTAGAAGACAAGTCTCTCTGTCCTTTGAAAATTGAGGACATGGCCCGGAACGGTGGCTCACACCTGTAATCCCAGCACTTTGGGAGGCCGAGATGGGCGGATCAGGAGGTCAGGAGACCAAGACCATCCTGGCTAACACGGTGAAACCCGTCTCTACTAAAACTACAAAAAATTAGCCGGGCGTGGTGGTGGGCGCCTGTAATCCCAGCTACTCGGGAGGCTGAAGCAGGAGAATGGCGTGAACCCAGGAGGCGGAGCTTACAGTGAGTCTAGATCCCGCCACTGCACTCCAGCCTGGGCGACGAGACTCCGTCTCAAAAAAAAAAAAAAAAAAAAAAAAAAATTGAGGACATGAGCTCTGTGATGGAATAAGACAAAGACTATGGCTGTTATGAAATGAGAGGGAACAATATTAGAAGGCAAGAGTCAGCAAATACTTGTTGAGGGCTAGATAGTAAATGTTTTAGGCTTTGCAAGCTAATAGTCTCTGTCACAATCCTTCAGCTCTGCTGTTGTGGTTTGAAAGCAGCCACAGACATTGTGTAAGCAGATGAAGCATGCCTGTGTTCCAATAAAACTTTATTTACCAACTCCCAATCTAAAGTGACCAACAGTCTACCCAGACAGGACTTCACAGAGTGGCTTTTGCAAGAAATGGTCGCCATGTTCCCAAGTCCATTTTTGAGATTTATAGGTTCAGAAACTCAATTTTATCTGTGCATTGAGAGTTGTAAGTATTGTGAGTAATTCTTCACAGTAAATACTGGGAATAGATTAGCCAGAATGTCATTAATTTACATTCTAGAAAATGAGATATTAATGTTTACTAGCTAGGGTGTCTTTATCAAGGAAGCAGAATTGCTGAGTTTATTAATCAGAAGGAAAATTGCCAAATGTAGAGATAGAGTAAAATTAGATAGTAATTTTGTGGAATAGTTTATCTAGGAAATGGTGAAGGATTTTGAACCATCCTTACCCTCAGCAGGTGACCAGAAAAATTTTGTTCTTCAGATTTTTTTTCCTTAGTTAGGATACTCTTAGTTCATTATTTATAAATATTGCTAAATTTTTGGTTTTTAGAATTTACTTAACTAGACTTCCTCTATATCTTTTTTTTCTTCTATTAGTATGTCTTTTCTCCATATCCTCATCTGGAGAAACAATAAGATGTGTTTGTTTCAGTTTTGGCCAGTTCAGTACACCTAATTGCTTCAGATGAGTATGTACAATCAGTGCATATCCTAGGGCTTGTGAAGAGTTTGGCACTCAATAAATATTAGTTGAGTAAATAAATTTATTATGTTCTCCTATGACTCTTCTCTAATTTCTTTGATTTTTAAACCACACAGTTAGATAAATTAGTTGGAAAATATATATAAGATTTTCTTCTACAGATAGCTTTTTCTAATCATGAGTTTTGTTTGTTCAATCTTCAGAATGTAGTGATTACATCTATTCTTGAACAGTTGTCTTGATGAAACATATTCATTAAATTGGCATAAAGATGACCACAAATTTAGGACTTGATTTTAATGTTGACTGATTTCTTTATTCAAGGTGAATTTTCTTTCTAAGCTTTTTTTTAATTGAAGTATAGCACACAAGTGCACAAATCTCAAACAGCTCAATTAATTTTTATGAATGAATCCATCAATGTAGCCACTACTCAGATCAAGATATAAAATACTACCAAGATTTCAGAAGGATTCTCTATGGCTCCTCCCAGTCAGTAACCTCCTTGCAAAGATAATGACTATTTTGATATATATTAATAGCACCAAAAATTAATTTTATTTGAACTTCATGTAAATGGAATCATGTAATATGTAATCTTTTTTTCCGGATTCTTAATATTAAGTGTGGATTCCGTTATGACAGTAATTTGTTTCTTTTCATTTTCATCTTCATATGACCGTTACAATTTATTCATTCTACTTTTATGGATACTTGGTTTATATTTGCTTGGTTCTCTTATGAATAAAGCTGCTGTGAACATCCTTGTCCATGTCTTTTCATACACATATGCATTCTTTTCTCTTGTATATATTCATGGCCCTAGGATTCCTGGCTCATAGGATATGCATATGTTCTACTTCAGTAGATACTACTAAGTAGTTTTTCAAAGTAATAATGTCAGTTTACACCACCACCAGCCATGTATGAAAATCTCAGTTGCTTCACATTTTCATCAACATTTGATACTGTTTTTTTTTTTTTTTTTTTTTTTTAATCCATCTGATAGATACGTAACACTATCTGAGAGTGGCTTCGGCTTGCACTTCTGTGATGGGTATTGATGTTGAGGACCTGTTGTTGTGCTCATTGGCCATTTGGGTATCTACTTTTATGGAATACTAAATTAATTCTTGTACTTATTTTTAAAAATTAGAGTGTCTATCTTTTTCTAATGGATTTGTAGATATTCTTTCTACGTTCCGGATATATATATATATATATATTACAGATATCTTCTCCTCTATGACTTACCTTTTCACTCTTAATGATGTCTTTTGATGAACAAAGATTTTGAATTTTAAAGACGTCATGTATCATTTTTTTCTTTATAGTTCTTTTGTGTTTTCTTTAAGAAGCTTTTGCTCAACCCAAGGTCATTAATATTTTTTGCTGTTACCTTATAGACGATTTATTTTAACTTTCATATCTAGATCCATGAACTTTCTATAATTTGCTTTTGTGTTTGTTATTAGGTAAAGGTGAAAGTTCTTTTTTTAACATATGGTTATCCAGTTGCTTTAGCACTATTTTTTGGAAAGACGATCCTTTCTCACTACATTTCATTGGCATATTGTTGTAAATTAAGTGATCATATATGTGTGCTTTATTTGCCAACTTGTTATTTTCAAATGTGTTTATTATTTTTGTCCGTTTGTATTTTTATATAAATTTATAAATAGTCTGTTAATTTCCACACACAAAAATACTTGCTGTGAATTATTGGAATTTCATTGAACCTGTGGTCAACTTTTCCATAATTGATTTTCTTTACAACAGCATAACATCCAGTCTGTGAACACCTCCATTAATTTGTTTAGATTTTTTTCAAAGACGTTTTGTGGTTTCTAGTGTAGCTATCTTACACATTTTGCATTACATTTATACCTAGACATTTGATATTTTTGAATCAAATTTTGACCTTTTTTTAATTTTATTTTTTATTTGTTTCTGGTATATAGGAATAGAATTGAATTCGTTTATTGACTTTTTATCCAGTGACCTTGCTAAATTTCTTATTAAATTTTATAGTTTGCCTCTAGCTTTTTTGGAATTTTCAAAGCATGCAAACAGGTCATCTGTGAATAATGACAGGTTCGTTTTCCCCTTTTTAGTCTTTATAACACACTTTCTCTCTCTCTCTCTCTCTCTCTCTCTCTCTTTCTCTCTTTCTTTCTCTCTCTCTCTCTCTCTCTCTCTCTCTCTCTCTCTGTCTTTTGGGGTTGGGAAGTAAAACCTTATTACTTTGGTCACATCTCCAGTAGAAACATTGATAGTAGAGATTATTTTCTTATTCTCATCTTCAAGGGAAAAGCTTTCAATAATTCACAATTAAGTATGATATATTTATAGGTTTTTTGTAGATAGATAAGGAAATTACTATCCCTAGTTTATTTAGAGTTTTTGTCATGAGTAGTTGTTGAATTTTATGTTTTTTCTATATTGATTGAGGGATTGAGTTGATCATATTTTTTTATTTTATTTATGTGGTAAATTATACTGATTGATTTTTGAATATGAAACCTCATTTCTGGAATAAACCCAGACTGATTTGACATAGTATCTTGC